GGAACAATTTATATATAAAAAACTTCACTTTTGTGTCATGATCTTAAAAAACTAAAGGACAAGAAAATCTGAATGACAGTATCTACCAATCCGTTCAAAGAATCAACTAAAACCTCGACTCTCATTCATCACATCGAAAAAATTGTCACCTATCCTCCCTAACTACCCGAAAACCTTTCATACAAAGGCCTTCGACTGATTCCAAACAAGAGAATCCATTATGATCCAGCTTTATCCCCTCTTACCTTTTTCCTGGCCTTCATCCAAGAAAAAAAACGACAGAAATCCCATCGAGGTCACCTACTTGGCACTTAGTCGAAAAATAAACGCACGTTGTTCCGGACGTAACACGCGCTTTCGCTATCCCAGTCGGCGGTATCTGGTCAACTGTTCGGAATAAGGAAAAACGGCTCTCTGGCTACCCCCAAGAAGTCGTTCGAAATACCCGCCTCGTGACGCATGCGCTTCCTCGCCGCCCCCAGGTCTAGCACGTCCTTTTTACACTTTGCCGCCGGTTTCTCGTGTGTTATTGTGTGTGTGTATCTGTATTCGTGGGAATTCCAGCGCTTGATGTCTGACACTGAGTCGCAGGGAGAGGTGGGAATACACCTGGTGCCGCTGCCAGGCATCAAGGACCGCTGAAGAGGCTCTCGAATACAAATGACCTACTTATCACAATTTTATTTAGGACATTGCTCTTCCTTAACTATTGTTCAAATTTTGCAAGTTGAAATCAAATAAAACAATAACTAAACAGTTTAAGTTAATACGAGCTCATCTAATCTTTAGTAAAACATTCACGTATTTTCACTATTAGATGAAACATTTCCAAGCTTATTTGAATCTTAAACAAATTTCAGCCAGACAATTAATTGCAACTGCAACTAATGTTTCCCTTAAGTGACATTGCATAATCACTTTTCCTTCGACAACATGTTTCCATATGCTCTTTCTGTAGAATTTACATTAAAGAAATTGGATTTTACATTTTCAATGGTTAGCAATTCACCAGATTCCTGAAAGGAGCTAATAGATTGAAAGTTACGATGTATCTGAAATTCTTGTGTTGTTATTTACCGATTCATTCTGAATTCTGGATCATTTCTAATTATAAAGTCGAACAAAAAAAAAGCAAGCAAATTGTTAACTTTTTGTATCTGCGCTTAGTAAAAATATTTTAAAACAAATATTTGTACAAATATATAAATGTACTGCTATATATCATTTTCCAACAAGTCTCTATCCGGGTCTTTACTTCTACATTAAAATAATATTTCATTTCGACATACATTATTTAATAAAATGTAGTAACATTAAACTTTTTATGTGATAGATACCTACCTTTATCATTCGCCTTTTCAGCAGTTATTCTTTTCTAAACATTAGTTGTTTCTTAAGCACCAAGGCATTAACAAGAAAATTGGCAGGAAACTTTTTTTGAAAATGGCCCTTGGATATACATTTTCGATGTGTAGTATGTAGCAATTTCTTTAGCATTTTCGAAAATACGGTTCTGAAACTTTTCTTTTTGGCATGTCTATATTAGTTATGCATTATATTGAATGGGAAAAAACCACAATTTTAATTTAAAATATGTTACATTTGGCGTTTTAAAATACCGTATATATATATATATATATATATATATATATATATATATATATATATATATATATGATAAAAAGTCTTTTATGATTGATATGTTCCGTTTCAGTGTAATATAGTTTATAAATAAAGTTACGTCGATTGCAACCCCTTTCATTCAATTCTAAACATGCTCGCGGCATCAAATTTTTTGGTATACTGACATAATTTAATATAGGTAATATAAAGTAAAGGAAATACTTCAAAAAAGGTTTTCTAAAATCATTTCTTGTTGATGCCAGTTGCCAGTGAAACTGTTATCGATGCTATTCGTAATGAATTTTAGATTTATCTAATAACAGATCTACTCTGACGTTATTTGCTGCTGTTTTAACGTGCCTAGTCAGAAACATCAAGATTTTATTCCTTGATTAGTTTCAGGGTGAAAAATAAAGTCATTTTTTATGAAAAGATAAATTTTAAATGTTTATTTTTACGACGCGTTCTCAATGATAGGATAAAACCGTAAAACATCGTACTAGAATATTAAAAATCCATAATTTCTCGTAAAATTAATAACCATTATTTGACATTATAAAAACACATATTACCCGTATTCCTATGCTTTATTAAGAATCCGAACGGACTATATTAAATTGAGGTCAATATGTCTTCGTCTTCTTTTATACTTGCGTCTTTTCTATTTCTATTTCTTGAAGAAAAATCTAGAGCTCAGAATCCGAATGATCAGTTCTATGGCTGATAAATGTTTGACAATGGACTCTGAAATAGAAAAAGAACTAAAAAAAGAACTCGCATCTAAATGACCTGAGGAAGTGATGTGAGCGTTCATCAGCAGAAATCTTTTGTGCAGCAATTTCCAAAGCTACAGTTGCCATTTGAATCGCCAATCTTCGAAAGGAGACGACGCAATAAGAAGAAGAAGGAAAAGTCCTAGTCTTAAAATTGGATAAATCGATACTCCGTTGAATCGGTTTATTATAATTACACTCAATAGTGACTATAATTAAGAAAACTATGTAAGACAATAATAAAATATATAAATAAGTATATTGTTTGAGCGTATAAACTGCGTTAAAATATAATCGTGATAGTAAAACCATAAAAATAATTGATACTGTAACCTATGACTAATATTTTTTCATATTTAGTTTTCATATTACAACCTTAACTTAATTTTATAGGATAACTTAATTAGTATAGATCGATGACTAACTCTTTTATCAGGTAATAATTTTCACATTTTTCTGAAAAGTTAAATCATCATTAAATCGTTTCTAACGTCATATTCTAGCGCCACCTATTAAATATTTGAAGTAGTTAAATATTATGTTTATATTCTCCATTCGCTTAGCTAGGGCATATTTTGACAGACTCATTGTCGGAAACCTACAACACTACAATTCCTACTTCTCAGTATTAATAGCTCAAGTATACTACTATTGCAGACTTCTTTCTTTGAAAAAAAGAAGAATTATTCTAAATAGTGGAAGTGTATACTAAACCCATCAAATTTTCCCTGTATATTTAAAGTATACTATTTGAGTTACTACAATTTAATATTATATTGTAGTAAATATTGTTGTTAGTTCTATTTAGTTTATTTAGTTATAGTTCTATTTTGAATTTTATTATTAGGGATAGTAAAAGTTTTCCATTTGTTCTATCAGATAATGCGTTGGTAAGTTTTTCTTAAATAAATATGATAAATGTTCTTTAAAAGTTAATATTTTTAGATGATTAAGGATGCTGTTAAATTACAAGGTAATCAACCTGCACAAAGATTTATTCAAAACACAAACCATTTTTTTAAAATTATTTGCTCATTCGGCGTAGGTTGATCACTAAAATATATTTATGAAGTTCTGTAAATATATTCTTAATAACAAAAACATTTCAGTTAACATCCATGTATATATAGCATGTATAAAGTTTCTATTATATATAAAATGTATATTATATATAAAAAATATATTTTATAAAAAAATTACAGTAATTTAGTTTATACCGTTAAGTTGCTCCAAATGTAGGCAACCAACTTAAACTTTTTTGGCATTTAGCTGGAGTTTCTTGAGAATATTTTTAATAAACGTTTAATATTTTCCAGTTAATTTATTATTTTTTAAAAGTCATGATAATAATGCTGAATAAGCAATATTTTAAATGATATTTAATCACAAAAGTACTTAATATTATTTTATATAATCTTCATAAAGTACGTTTCTAATAGAAATTAGCTAAAATTAGAAAAAAAAACTAGTTTATGATAGTAATAATATAATATTATAATATTTTTGAATTATATTTTTGATGATATTGTATTATCTTTTAGATGCATAATATTTTTTAATTATAATATGAATATTATATTTTTTATCTAACGTACTTTATGAGGATTATATTATATAACACAATATTAAGTACGTCTTGTGATTACATATCATTTGAAATATGGCTTATTCATAATTATTATCATCACTTTAAAAAATAATAATAAAATTAATATATTCTCAAGAAACTTCAGCATAAATGCTAACAAAAAGTTTAAGTTGGTTGCCTATATTTGGCGTAACGACATAAACTAAATTACGGTAACTTTTTTATAAAATATATTTTTTACATATAATAGAAACTTACTATCTTTATACGTGCTATAAATTTCTAAGTCATATAAGTTTGCAAAAGAGATCGACGAAATACTTTAATGAAATGCGCTATGAGCACGTGTGCTTTGTTGTATAGTAATTTCCAGCCACTTTTAGTCTGTCAAAAAGTAACTAACTTCGTAAAAACATAATTACTAAAATCACTAGACAGTTCGGACTGGGATTAGCGAACCGGGTATATAAGATAATGACACAATTATTGATTGTAATAAAAATTACATTTATAAATAATATTTTAATGTTTTAAAAATTAGTTAAAAATGTAATTTTCATTACAGTCCATAATAATTGTGGCTTAATCACATATAAATACATATTTCATGTAGTGTCGTATGTTCCCATCTATCGGACATAACTGGAAGCTTTACACCTATTATGATCGTATTCCTGCTTACCTACAGAGTACGTCAATTGTCAGACAATTTATGTATTGAAATTCGAGTTCTGTGCATTCCGTGATTGTTTGCGTCATTTGCGAAAATGTTGGAGCTTCCTATTTGTTTTTTCGTTTGTTGACATTCTGTTTTTGACGTGAGTTGAATATGTCATTTTAATTTTAGCATATACATACAATTTTCCGAAAATAAGTAAATACATTGAACAGTGCAGTGGTCACCTAGTTTTCCGCAGACATGTAAACATTGTGGTAGCAAAGCCACCGGTATTATGGCAATTATTTTGCTCAAAATTTATTTAGTAAAGCATATTGGTGAAATTTCAAAGTAAATAATGTCTAATAACAATTCCTCTATCGGCAAAGCGAGGGGTAGGCCGCCAAAGAAAATCATATCATGTACCTGGTGTAATGAAACGAAGCTTCCTTTGAAATATGTATTTCCCACCACAAATGGAAAAAAAGAGTTTTGCTCTGAGACTTGCCTTGCAGAATTCCGAAAGGCATACGTCAAAGGAGCTTGCATACAGTGTGATAATGTTATTAGAGGCAATGCTGCCCCTTCAAAAGAATACTGCTCGACTTATTGTATGAACAAGCATCAAAAGAAAGAATTGGCAAGTTCTAGAGTAGCTGCTGTAGCTCCTACTACGCCATTAGAGGGTTCTTCTGGGCCATTTCAGGTAAATTTGTAGTATAATAATTAATATGCATGTGTAGAAATCAGACTTATATAAAATAGCAAACAAGTTAATTTTTTGGTGCATTCATTGATTGTTTAATATCAGGAAAATCTAATCAATGTTCATTCATCTGATGTATTATTAACAGTAATTTTACATTTTTGAATAACAGGTGAATTTATAAACCTGAGACAGATCTGAAACGATACACAATAAACAAAATAGAGATAACAGGTGGTAGAGATTTAGTAACAGTCCTTATTTAAAAACAAAGAACATGTGCCAGTAATACTCCTTAATATTATAGTCATATTAAAAGAAATGTAAGACTTAATATTTTTTTTTTAAAATATTGTAGAAGATTTTTTAACCATACTGAATTATAGGTTTTTGATGATTTGAAAGGAGACATTTAATAGGAAACAAAACCATGATATTATTTATTTACTTTATTAGTTTCGTTAAAATCATTAAACAAATGGAAATCAATGTATGTAATAGTAATAGCAGTAAAACTGACAATGTGAATCATACTAGAGGAAATAAACTACCTAATCAATAAATTAAATCAAATTCCAAAACTGTTTCTTGTGAGACGTTTAAGTCAAATATTATGTTTATTAGGGATTAAACCACAATTGATTGTAATAAAAATTACATTTTACATTTATTGTAATCTTCAATCTGAAAGTATTTATTTATTTTTACGCACAACAGGTCGTTAAGGCCTGGAGCATTTTTTAAAACATAATCCTAATATTAACTAATTACAATTATTTTAAACAAAACTTTAACTTAAATATGTATACAACATTCTTAACTACTCTGAAGGACCTGGTGGACAATATTTCTCCATTCGCTTCTATTTTGTGCTTTTCTTTTCCAGTCCCTCACCTTCACATGTTTAAGGTCTTGCTCCACTTTACTAATTCACTTTACTAATCCACCTCGTTCTGGGTCTACCTCTTGTTTTGGGGCTAATTAGTTTTCTGGTTATTACTAGTTTAGGCATTCTGTTTGCTGTCATATTTTCTACATGTCCCAACCATCTGATTCTTTGTAACTTGACGAACTTGGTAATGGTAGGTTCTTTGTATAAAGCCATTAATTTATTGTTGGTTCTTCTCTCCTAACCATCTTCTTTATTCTGTCCTCCGAATATGTGTCTCAATATTTTCTTTTTCCATCTGTCCACAGTATCCTTCTTCCTTCTTATTTAATGTCCATATCTCACCAGCATATATTACTGTGGGTCGAATTACTGTTTTATATATTCTCAGTTTACCTTGTCTAGAAACATATTTTGAGTTCAGTAGGGCTTTTAAACTACCTAATTTTTTATTCCCTTTTGCTATTCTGGCTTCGAGCTCCCATTTCTCTTTTCCATTTTCATTGAAAACTACACCCAGGTATTCAAATTTGTACACCCTTTTAAAACTATAGCTTTTACCACCTACAGACCTCACATCAGTCTTCTTTTTTTCCCTTCTGTCACTCCCATGATCATATATTTGGTTTTATCCTCATTTAGTTCAAATCCGAATTTCTGTGCTTCTTCAATGATTTTCTTCACAACTCTTCTTAGTTATTTCTTGGTTTCTGCTAGGATCGTTAGATTGTCAGCCAATGCCAAGCACTGGTGCTCATTTTTAATGATTGTTTCTTTCACCTTCATGCTGCATTTTCTGATTACAGTTTCTAACACTAAGTTGAATAATGTAGTGTATAGAGGATCTCCCTGTCTGAAACCTTTTGCAACCATAAGTTGATCTCATATGTGACCCTGTCAAGCAATTTCACATGTAGAGTTATTTAGTGTCATTTTAACTATCTGGATCAGTTTCTTTGGTACACCCAAATGTTCCATTGCTCGATACATTTTGACTCTATCGACTCTATCATAAACGCTTTTGAGTTTGTCGCTTTTTTTAGACACTTCTCTAAAATCCACAAACAAAACATGCAGGGGGACTTTATCTTCATAGCAAGTCGTTTGTATCTCCTTTAATGAGAAGAATTGGTCTACAGTAGATCTGTCCTTTCTAAAGCCGGCCTGATACTCATGTAGGATTCTTTCTGTATAGCAATTTAGTTTATTTTTCAATAATCTTGCCAAGGTTTTGTATACCATGTCTAGTAACGCTATACCTTTATAGTTGTCACACTTCAGTTTGTCTCATTTTTTATGCAGAGGTCATATGTGGGCCTCATACCACTCCGATGGCATTATTTCCTTTTCCCTTAGTTGCACTAGTAGCTGATATATTTTTCTTTATAGTTGTTCTCCACCTAACTTGATCATTTCTATGCATATGTCATTTTTACCAGGACTTCTGTTATTTTTCATTTCTTGTATTGCTGTCACCACCTCCTCCTCTGTAGGCTGCCTTTCAACTATCACATCTTCTCCAATCATCCAGTTGTCTACTGCTTCGTGCTCCACCTCACCATTTAATAATTCTTCAAAATGTTTTTCCATTCCGTCATTATTTCTGCCGGATCGCTAATTAAATTTCCGTCTTTATCTTTCATATAACTACAGTGGCTTTGATAACCTTTTCTGATCTTTTTAACTTCTGGACCTCAACTCATTGTGGTATCTCTTTTTCCTTCTACACAGATCTTTCAATCTTCCGTGAATTATTCTATATTCTTGTTTTTTACACTCTCTATTATCTGTTAATATTTGTTGTCTGATCTTCTTCTTTTCCTTTGCTATCGCCTGACACTCTTTGTCAAACCAATCTCTGTTTGTACTTCTCTTGGAGTCGCACTTAATTATTTTCTCACTAGCTTCTCCTATGGTGGATTTAATTTGCTCCCAGGCTTGATCTGTCTGTAAATTTTGGTCACATTGTTGTAGAATTTTATTTATTTCTTCTTCGTATTTAGTTTTTATTTCTACTTCCTTAAGTTTTTTGATAATGTACTTTCTCTTTGTTTTATTGATCGATTTATCTTTTTCTTTTAACCTCCTCCCACATGTGACTTAAGGTACTGGTCCGAGTCGATTTCAGCTCCTCTCATACTTCTTACCTTCTGAATGATATTCATGTATTTACTTTCAATCATAACATGGTCTTTTTGATTCACTGTCCTTCCATCTGGGGAGACCCACATACTTTTGTATATCTCTTTTCGTTTTAGTTGTGTGCTTTTCACCACCATGTTTTTCTCCATGGCAAATCCAATAAGTCTTTGACCAGTATCGTTTGTTACTTATTAGACTTGTATACTTGTTTGTCTGATACTGATCAAATTGATTGTTTAAGATGGTGGCATTATCTCTTGTTAATAGAAATAAAAACAATACATTCTAAAATTATTATAAGGTACATGTAGGCATATGTGCTTAAACCAATGTGTTCTACCTTGAGTCACTTATGGAACGGAAACATTAACACCCATAAAAAAGGTAGTAGTAAATAAGATTCGCTTGACTTAGAGGATGTGGCCATGTCTCTCTGAGAGACCAAATCCCAAACTAAGAAATATGTTGTAGAACAAAAATAACAAACACCATCGAAAAAATCCCATAATATATTGGGGGATTTGCAAGGGCCCCATATATTTTCAGCCAAATTAAAACATATTAAATTTTGGATTACTTTTGTAACACAAGTAGAAGAGTTATTTGTCAGAAATTAAATAAAAAAAGAAATAAGTCCTTTCAAAGTTTAACCTCATTTGTCTGTGTGATAGATTTCAATTATTTTCCATACAACAATACTGCATATGTTTAAATCTTTATATCTTTGTGTAGATGGAATTTCAGTGTTTCTGCTTATTATTTTGTTATCAAAAAACTGTGAAGATTTCCAGAAGACCAGTTTCTATGGTTTTGTAACATTAGTAATTCTTCTTCTTTTGGCATCATGGATGGTGATGGGCAACCATGGATGGTTTTTTACCTATCTAGCTATGTCCTTCCATTCAGATCTCTCTTGGGCCCTTCTTCTCCCTTGTCTTATATTCATGGTTTTCAGGTTGTCTTCCAAGTCATCCAACAATCTCGTCCTGGGCCTTCTTTTTTCAGCCCTCCTACCGGCTTTCAGTGTAACATCTTCTTCATTGTTTTCGTATCTTCTTGTCGCTGAATATGCCCCAGCCATGACAGTCTTTGACTTTTCACAAATCTTACAATGGCATACCCTTCATTCAGTTCATTAACCTCGTCGTTTCTCCTGATTCTGTGTGTGTTGCCTTCTTGCAACCGGGCCTTATTAGCTTAGTATGTACTGGAATTCACTGGAAATACTTGCATTAATTTCGCTACTTGATTTCTGTGCCCAGATATGTGAAGTCATTCACATGTTCAATAGTATAGTTGTCTATTGCTATAATATTTTCATTCTCAGGTGTTCTTTTGATGGTAATGTACTTAGTTTTTGTTTCGTTTATTTTACGCCCTCTTTTTTGTGGTTCAGGATCAATTTCCTTGAATGTTTCCATTAGTCATGTCTTGCTTCTACTAATAATGGCGACATCGTCTGCATATGCAGTAATTTGTACTGTTTTGGTGTTTATATGGCCTGTTACATTAGTTTTTCTGATGACTGTTTCAAAAACTACGTTGAACAGCATGGTTGAAAGTGTGTCTCCCTGTCTCACCTCCATGTTGATCTCAAACAGTTCTCCATCTACTCTAACTGCGGCTTTTGAACCCTGCATTGTCATTTTTATGAGGCTGATATATTTTTTTGGTATACCTAGATTTCGGAGGTCTTTCAGCATTTTGTCTCTTTTCACACTACCAAAAGAGGTTTAAGTCTATATACATATTATATAGTTCTATATCGTATTCATAAGCTTTCTGTTGTATTGTTCTAAGTATGAATATGTTGTCTATAGTGGCTCTATTTGGTCTGAATCCATTTTGATAATCACCAATAATAATGCCAGAAAGGATTTTGTATATTACATTTAGCAATGTAATTGGTCTGTGATTCTGACATTTTTTATATATTGGCTGTATAAGACCAAAAAAACGTAGTTTAGAG